AGGAGCGATGGCCGTTTGCAGTCGTGGCCGTGAGTTGGAGGGGGCTTGAGGCTTGCGCTTCCGCAGCTTTGTCTGAAATGTGTGCGTTATCAACCTAGCGTGAAAGTCTGATATGTGCGGCTGTATTGCATCCTGCGCGTGTGTCTGCATATCTATATGCACGCGGACCCAGCAAATGTCTTATTTGCCAAACAGATTGGAGCGTGAACTTGGGAGGGACTGTGCCGCTGTTTCTAAACTGTGCATTAGTTAACAGTTAATAGTTTTCCTTCAGGTAGCAGAGAACCTGTATTTTCAACTCTTATCCTACTTTTTCTATGCACATGATGGAGTTTTACATCTTCATAGGGATATCAGTGCAGTAAAGCAATGAACAGGTACAGTACTAAGCTGGGGAAAAAAAAGATCATAACAAGTTTTGTTTTAGCAGTAAGTTAAATCGTGATGTTAAATTTCAGTGAAAAGAGTGTGCGGGAAGCTAGTGTTAGGAGAGATCAAGAGAAAATGTTTTCTCATCTCTGTTTAGCACTAAAGGTAGTAAGCACACCCAGTAAATGATCTTGGCTTAGCAGATCTTTCCATCTTTCTAATGCAATTTCCATTGTGATTCTGTATGTCTCTTGTTAAATCAAACTGTAGCAGGTTATCGGTTTCTCTTGCTAGTTTGGGTGCTGTCCAAACCAGTTTCACCAAATGTTTGCATTTGTGCATATCTTGCAAAAGCATTAAATGTGCCGCATGGTAAATAGAACCTGGAATTGAGTTCAAGTCGTTTCTGTTATTGGGCTTAGGGTTAGAGTTCCTGTCCCTCCTCAACCCAGCCCTGTGTGTTTATGCTGTCTGTGGGAAGTTTGACGTGGCAAGATTCTTTTTTCTCTCTCCAAGTGAGCTGTGGAGGAAGTAGTTTCCCCTGGATGCTGTCACAGCTGAAGGTGTCGGTTGTTGCAGCTGCCTCAAAGTAAACGTGCTTTTCTGTATATAGATATATATAAGAACGTGCTAGCAAGTAGATTATTTAGTGCTGATTTTCTGTCTTGTGGAGCATCTAAAGCTTGTGGTGCCACATCTTTTCTGCTGAGGGGGAGAGTATGGCTGGTAACCAGAAGTTGTTCTGGGCGGATGTTTTTCTTCTTCTCGTCCTTACCTCACTAGCTAAAACATAGAAGCCAGCTCTCCAGTCTACTATATCTGAAACAAATACATAAAAATCTCTTAGGCAATTGAGAAATGTTGTGCCACATTGAGGAATATAGCTTAGTATGATAGGCAATGTGCGAGGTCACACATCTCAAGGGGATTTCCTGTCTGATGTGCCACATTAGTAAAACTTTTTTTTTTTTTTGAAATGTGTGTCTATCATGAAGTATTGAGGAGCAGCATTGAATGGTGCTCCGAAGAAAAGAAAAGCTGCAACAAATCTAACATACCTTTTATCTCACATTAGGATAGTCAGAGCTCTATGAGAAGATGTATTTTGGGGTCTGAGTCATTGGTGTCCTAGTTAGAACTGTGACCTTGCAATGTTTTTAAATCGTAGCTGTGGCTTCACATTAAAAGAAATATATTTGTTGTTTCATCATATCGAGGGGAGGAGTGGAAGAGTGGAAATAAAAGTGAGATTGGAGAGCAAAAATATGGTTACCAGCAGACATTCACTGCTTTGTAAGTTAAAAGCCTAGAGATGACTTTTCTGATAGAAGTACCTTTTCCTTCTACTGGCATGTGCTCATGAAGCCTGAATTTGTTTGCGATACAGCATGATATTGGAGCTGCATCTCTTTAGGTGACATGAGGCATGCTCCTGGAGCACAGTTTCTGAGAGAGTCCCATCCAGTTTGCATGCTCAGAGATCGTGCTGCAACCCCAAGCAGGTCAAGTAAAGATGGCTGGGAGAGCTAGTTCAAAAGAACACTTCTGTTGTCAAATAAAATGCTAGTTTATGTAGATGTAGCTACTTCGATGGCTGCCAAATATGCAACTTCAAGATACTGTAGTGTTCTTCAGATTTTTAGTCTTAATTTTAAATCATTGCAGTTACTGGAACAGCTAAAGCTTCTTTTATCCTACTTAGCAAAATCTGACTTCAACAAAGAAATGAAATGTCTTGTCAATGCTGTCATCATCGCAGGTGTATATGTGTGGAATCTCTTAGATTTGGTTTCATCACGTTGCAGGTTCCTTTAGTTAAAAGACTGAACCTTGAAAAGAGCCAGCAGCTCTTGTACGATGCTTGTGTGACAGGGATAGGTTTGCGACAGTAGTAGCTGTGCACTTAGTGTTGTTTCTTACCAGCGTGCCTGAAAGCAGGGACTGCTCCCTCACTTGCCTGGGATGTGGCTGATGTAGAAGGTGTGATGGGAGCTTGTGCTGTGTTCTACACCTCCTCTAAAAGAGGCATGCTAGGGCATGGAATCATAGAATGCCTAGTGTTGGAAGGGACCTCTGTGCACGTGGCACAGGACTGCATCCAAGCAGGTTTTGAAGATCTCCAGAGAAGGAGACTCTACAACCTCTCTGGGCAGCCTGTTCCAGTGCTCTGTCACCCTCACTGTCAAGAAGTTTTTCCTTAAGTTCCTGTGGAACTTTAGGTGCTTCAGTTTGTGGCTCTTCCCTCTAGTTCTGTTGCTGGCCACCAGTGAAAAGAGGCCAGCACCATCCGCCTCACTGCCTCCCTTGAGGTACACTGATTAGATCCCCTCTCAGCCTTCTCTTCTCCAGGCTGAAGAGGCCCAGCTCTCTCAGTCTTTCCTCATAGGGCAGATGTTCCAGGCCCCTGATCATCCTTGTAGCCCTGCGCTGGACTCTCTCCAGCAGCTCCACATCCCTCTTGTACTGTGGAGCCCAGAACTGGACACAGTACTCCAGATGCGGCCTCACCAGGGCTGAGTAGAGGGGCAGGATCACCTCCCTCGACCTGCTAGAGATGCTCTTCTTAATGCAGCCCAGGATCCCATTGGCCTTCTTGGCCACGAGGGCACACTGCTGCCTCATGGTCAACTTATCATCCACCATGACACCCAGGTCTTTCCCCGCAGAGCTGCTCTCCACAAGGTCGGTCCCCAGCCTGTACTGGTGCCTGGGGTTATTTCTCCCCAGGTGCAGGACCTTGCACTTGGCCTTGTTGAATTGCATGAGGTTTTTCACCGCCCAGTTGTCCAGTCTGTCCAGGTCCCTCTGGATGGCAGCACAGCCCTCTGGGGTATCGGCTACTCCTCCCAGTTTGGTATCATCAGCAAACTTGCTGAGGGAGCACTCTGTGCCTTCATCCAGGTCATTGATGAATAAATTGAACAGGACTGGACCAAGGACAGTCCCCTGGGGGACCCCGCTAGCTACAGGCCTCCAACTAGACTCTGCACCGCTGATCACCACTCTCGGGGCCCTGCCATCCAGCCAGTTCCTAATCCACCTCACTGTCCACTCATCTATCCCACACTTCCCACATGCCTGGAGACAACGGCCAGTATGAGCCGCTCCATCACTTTTCCGGGGACGGAGGTGAGGCTCACTGGCCTGTAGTTGCCTGGGTCCTCCTTCTTGCCTTTTTTGAAGACTGGCATGATATTGACTTTCTTAGGGCAGGAGAGTTGCTGGAGGAGTCTTGCATTCTGACAACTGTGCCTTTCAGTTTTTTTTCTAATACTTGGTATTTGGGGAGCAGGACTTGCAGTCTGTTTTTTTTTCAGATGTAGAAGTCTAGATTCCCTCAGTAAAGAGATTTGTTTGAGAATTTCTGAGTTTTCCCTTACCTATACTTTCTTCACTTTTTTTTTTTCTTTCTTGGGTCTGGGAGAGGCAAATGCTCTTCAGATAAATTCAGTGATTTTTTTTTTTTTTTAATTCATGCAGTACTATTGTGGTAGTGTTGACAAAATTAAGCAAGCAGTTAATCAAACAAGCAAAATCGTTTTCTTTTGGCTTATAGGTGCATTTTTGCCCTCCAGGTCTGTCTTCCATTGCAGGAGGTACAGTTCTCAGCCTTTTAAAAAGACTTTTTTTTTCTTTTTTTTTTCTTTTTTCAGATTCTTAAAGAAGATCTTCTGCTTCGAATGAGTCAATTGCCATCATGAGTCAACAGGGTTATGTTGCAACTACTCCATATTCCCAGTCTCAGCCAGTAATAGGAGGCTTTTCTACAGGTTTTGGACCATCTACTTCTTCACTTCTTTATGGGCATTATGGGGACCCTAATTCCTCATACACAGCATCTCAAGCAGGTATGAAATTTGTTTAATTGATTTTTCTTGTTTGCCCAGTTTCTCTAAAACTTACTAAAGACTGCAGGAGTTGTGTTAGTTGCATCCATGATTGAATGCAGTCAGAACATAGAACTACTTTGGTTAATAGAATACTTGGGAATAATACCAGTTTTGGCAGCAAACAAATATAAAATAATTCAACAAATACAGATTGAAAAGCTGTTTATTCAATTCTTTTGTTTACATACATTTGCAATCTCTTTATAGTCAGTCTTCTAGATAATTTTGCATTAAAAACCATTCTTACCATAAGTTTACTGTTTCTGTGTGTGGAGGCAATTTTATAAAGTTTTTTTCAGATTTTATTTCTGAAAGCAAAGGGACCTGTTGCTTTTCCCTAAAACGATGAGTGAGTAATACAGAATTTCCAAACTACAAATTGAATTGGAGGATCTGTTTCCTTATTCTTGCATCTTCCTTACTGCCCACTTGTATTCTTTCACTAGAAAATTACTACTATTTCCTCCGTTTTTAACTATATCTTCTGTTTCGTGTTTGCTTCTATGCATGCATAAATGTACCCTTTCTTATTCCTATGCTTTTATATTTCTTGATGGTCTTGTGCTTCCTTACAGGCAGTACTTTTTGTTTTGTAGGTATGTCAAAATCAACTGTGCCTTTTGGATCTCCAGCCCCCGTTGGACCCCCACCACCTGCTGCACATCAGTTCAGCCAGACCAGTCTCCAAAACGGGCCCAGTGCACCCGGGCAACAGCCACATAGGTGACTTCACAAATTTATACATGAGATTTCGGTTGTTCGTTTACTTTTTGTTCTCTTCAGCTGCTTTGCTGGCATCCAAGTATTGCATCCCTTCTAACTTCAACAGTTCTGACCTATTCCAATTCTAAACTGGATCATAAAGTTCTTATGTTAAGCTGATGGATCGCACAATGCAGTCTAAGTTACATTTTACAGCAAGTTAGGTCTTTATCATGTGTTAGTTTTCTTTTTATTCTTTCTGCTTAAATTTAGACTCACTGCTTAGCTGCAGTAAGGTGTTATAGTTGCTGTTTGTTGTAGGGCTTGTGTCTCTTTTATTCATTTCCTGATGTCTTAATTCTCCTGTTGTGAGGTATCAAGGTGGTGATGTTTAATGATTAACAGTTGCCAGTGAATTTTGACTAGAAGCTGGTGCACGTGCGTATCTGCAGTTTTCTCCCTATACTGTGATGTCTGTTCAGTGTTGTGGCATCACAGACAAGAGTTTGTAGTTGGTTATTTGTTTTCAATTTTAACAATATTTTGTTCTGTTTAACAATATTTTATAATGCAGTTTTATGATAATCTTTGAGATAATCTTTGATCTTTTTGAAGACTATAAAGAGTTTACCTGAAGTGGTATTGCCCTGCCTCCAGACATCACAGGAAGAAGTGAAAGGGAAGGAGTGGGAGGAAGTTTTAATCTTTTTTTTTTGCTTTTTTAGTTGTTGGATAGTTCAAATAAAGCCTTATGTATATTTTATTAGGCATCAGAATAGGGAAGCCTGTTGTCTGTGTGTTATCACTGTGTGTAGAAGACTCACAGAACCTAGTAGTTCTTTGTAGAAGACAATGTCTAGAGAAAAGTGGCTGTTGTCCTGGAGAACTAAAAATGAAGAGTGGAAAAACACAATGAAGAGATTTGAGCTGACCAGCTCAGCAAAATGTTGTTTCTCTTTACTAACTTCCAGCCATCACTCGGACAGCTGCCTGTTTGCTGTTTTTGCTTGATCTTGTTTTCTTAACAATCTTAACAAAATTTCAAGGAAAGTGAATTGTACTCCCCTTAGCATACATAGGACCTTCCTCTGTTTTAGAAGTGATTGTAGGAAAAGCAATGTAGCTCTTCTGTGGAAAATGCCCTGCCGCTTTTCCAAAGTGTAGGTAGCACCTTGTAGGAAAAATCTACAGGTTATGTGTTTTACCTTTTCCTTTCATCCAATTTGCTTTCTTGCCTTTATGTTTTCCTATCTCCACACAGTAGTTTTTTTTCCTCCTGAGTCTTCCTTCTGCCCTTACTGCTCAGAACTCCCTAGCAGTCTCCCTCTTCACTTGCCTCATTACACAGAGGTTGCCTTAATGTCTGTCCCAATGTTCTCACCCATTCTTAGTAGAGAAGCTTCCTGTATAAGCATGGAAAGAGGTTGGAGGGATGTGGAATGTTCAGAAGCCTAGATTTCTTTTGTCTAAAGACCAAACTTTTGTCTAATTAATACCTTTCTCAATATGCCAAAACATACTTGCACTTCTTCGTTTCTAATAGGTGTGTGCCAAAAATCATATGCTGTCGTCTTTTAATTAGTGTCTATTCTCTCTTCAAGAGTATTTTAACAAGAGTATACATTTTTTTATGGTCAGAAGCTGACCATGTCACCCTAGAGAAGGTATTGGGCCTTCTGGAATTCTTATTGGTTGCTGTAATTCTCTTTATAACTGCACTAATTTCTCCCTTCAGGTTTCAAGGCCCTCCACCTCCAAACCATGCAGGATCTTCTTATCCTCCCTACAGTCATCAGTCACAACCAGCCTATCCAAATACTGCATCCACTTCGTCCACAACACAACTTGCAAACCAGCTCAACACTATGCAGATAAATAGCTATGGTAATTAGTTTTACCTAATTTTATTTACTTTTTCGTCAAAGCTGTTGACGATAATTAGCACCTTACTGAACTTACATAAAGTCTTTGACCACTATAATTTGCTCAAGATCTTTAATCTCATCCCATTAGTTAAGTGAATGTCCTTGAGTTAGTTGTGAATTGGTATTTGTTGAATCTTCAACAGATCAGTAAGATCAGTTACCTTATCAGTCATTTCTCAGATTTCTCTGTTGATCCTGTCAATAACAGGCAAAGTAGAAACAGTAATATACAGATAGTGCTTATTTCCCTCAGTTTCTCGGTTTTGAAACATGTTTTTTTCTTGTCCAAAACTTAAATTTAACCCAAAAGCTAGACTCTTACTTGCATTTTTTCTGGGGTTAAAATATCACAAAAACCAGACAATCAGATAAAGACATGTGGTAGTGCAATTCTTCCACGTAAATTAGACTTGCCATCACTGGTTTTATTTTTTATATTATATCTGCTTTTCCTGAATATTTGCTAAGGCCTGATCAAAATTACTATTCAATTGAAAAGGAGTGGAATTTAGTTAGCATTGCTGTGACAAACACATTTAACATTTGGACTTGTGTTCCAAACTTAATTTTGGTTATGGTCTTAGCTTTTACGAAAATTATTTTACTGTAGTTCTTTTGGATTTTGACTAGAAATACATTGTGAATCAACCAGCATTTATAGATTGTAAGACTCAAGTAAATATTTCCAGAGTTCTGTTATTTCCAGTTGGAACAATTCACCTGTCGTAGTAAAATGCACCAAACAAAAATTTGTCACATAGAAGAAATGAATTATTAACTCAAAAGGATATTATTTCACATTATGAAATAAAATATTATTTCAAAGCAAGTAGTTCTTTGTGTGTATTTTAATCAAGTATTGTCAAAGACTGAACTCTCTCTCCCCTTTCCCATCTAGTTTCTTTGTTTTTATTGGAAATAGAGCCACGAGGAATAGATGGACTTTAGAATCAGTTCAGACTTAAATGTTAAGTCCAAATTGTTACACAAAAGGGCATTCAGAACTCCTGTAATAAAGCATTATTGATACAAGATGCAGTATTTCCATACAAGTTGCCAATGTATGTAATTAAAATAGTTTGCCTTACACATAGTGTGTTGTTGGGTTTGGCTTATCTGATGTATGGCTTCCCACTCAGGTCCTACTGCTCCTCAGAGCTCTCACATGTCTTCTGGGCACCCAGCACCTTCTCAAGGTCAACAGCTGCCGCTGCCACCACCACTGACCCAGCAGCAAATGGCTTTGCCACCTGGATCACAGGTTCCTCCACCAGCAAATAATGTAAATGGCATTTGTGCTCAACCATCATTGCCTCCAATGGCCAGACAAGATGGGATCCCTGGATCTGGCCCCCCAAATGCTAACTTGCAGCAGCTTCCTGGACAGCCCCCAGGGCCTGGATATCATCCTCAGCAAGGTAAGGAAGAATGTTTGATATTTAACTGAAAACAAAATGTGCTTTAGGAATCAGTGGTGGAACTGCAACCAGTCATGGATGACGTTGTGCTGATTTAGAAAATTTTTTAAAAATTCTCTTTTTGGTGCAATCGGAGACTCCCATTGTCAATCATTGCATTGAAGGCAATCTATACTTTTCCTGAGAGGTTTAGCGTTCTGGAAAAGAATGCAGCAAGAAGTAGATTAATTTGTGCCAGAAGCAGAATTATTTGATTGGTAATGAGTGATGGTTCAACATACTACAGAGTCTGTCATTACCACAAAAGGTGCAGGGAACTCTCCACTTTATGGTACTGTGTGCCATCAGGAGCTTTCAAAATGCTTTTAATAGCAATAAAGAATTGTAACTGGAATTGAATATGAAGAATGTGCTTTGTTTTGCTTGGTGCAGGTGAGTAAAACAGGCAACTGTCTTTTTAGTTGGCAAACTAACTAGAGCAGTTTGCACTGACTGTTACTGGAGAGGGAAAGTAATACCTGGATTGAGTAGCTATGGGAATCACTGCTAATTCTCTTGTTTCGGTGGTACATACCTGAAAACTTTTGGATTTAAAGTTGTCACACACAGCTTTTTAAAACAACAGAATTTATGAGCTAAAGTAATTGGTTTCTTTTGCCTACTGAAAACAGAAGGCAAAGGGAAGTGGCATTTGGTTCCAGTAAGAATGAGTTGTATGGCAAAATATGATGTTAAAAATTGATACGTTAAAATACTTAAATCAGTGGTCATTTGTAACTCTGCAGCAAATTACGGCCCTCAGATGGCAGGAGCTCAGCTGTCTTATCCTGGTGCCTTCCCTGGGAGTCCAGCACAGCTCATGGGTCCCCAGCAGAAGAAGCTTGATCCTGACTCTATTCCAAGCCCCGTAAGTAATGCAGTGCTATTTTCTAACTTCCAAAAGAGAGTATCTATTTTATCCAGTGTTCATTCTAGTATAAGACTCATAAAATCTTGTAAAAGTGATTTTTAATGATTGCTTAACAGTCCATAAAACATCTGCGATTCCTTCTGTTAGAGAAAATTCTCAAGTTTAATGTAATTGGAAACTATTGTTTAAAAATTAAAGCGAATATCTATATAATTAGCAGGTGTAGGTAATGCCCTCACCTCTATGTTTCAGATTGGTGCTTTTACATAAGGATAAAATAGTTAGCCTGATTTAAAAAAATGGAGGAGGAGATCTGGCATAAAAGCAAGGACTGATGTCTAGTTTCAATTACGTATGTAGAATGAACAGGCTTAACTGTGACAGTGATCTTAAAATAGGCTAAAAGGTTTGTTTTAGCAGCAGAGCGAAGTTCAAAATGACATGTTTAAAAGAAACATGATGTGGGTCAATGTTGGCAAAGGGCAAAAAGCTAATTCAGAATGAGGAGTAAGTATCACCATGTGCATTTCTTGTTATATTTACATTATATAATTACAGTAGTGTTGCCAGATAAGAAGCAAATTTATCTATAGCCATTGTTGATTTATATTTTCTTATATGTGTTAGAGGTTGATGTGTGCTCTGACACCATCTATAAAAACTAGCGTCTGGACTTTGTCAACAATTATTTCCAAGAGCAATGATATATCTAGGTCAGTTAACTGCAGAATACCATGGTACATGATGCTTAGCAGATCTAAGTCTCAAAGTGCTTTGCTTCTTCAGCCAATGGACCTTTTTCTTTCTAATGCAAGTGATAGCAATAAGTATACAAGCTGAGGAGTCAGAGAAAAGCAATAATAATGTTGAAGTAAAGGAATATATTGTACCTAACTTTTGTTTCCTATAAAGTTTCTGTATTATAATTTATGGGTCATGAATTATTTCCAGTATGTTAGGAAATAACCCTTGGACAATGATCAATGGAATCCATGCAATTAATTTTGTTTTTCCCCTCTGCTTTCAACAGAGGTTTCTGAAGTTCTCCAGCTCCTATTAAAAAGTCAGATGCAGTGTAAAGATACAATGCCATGGGATGCCAGTTTCAGTGGCAAAGCCAGCTTCAGAAATTCCCATTCTCTGTCCTCTTGCTTCTCAGATCAGCACATACAGTGATGCAACCTGTTTTCACCTCAGGTTGATCTAGGAGATTGGAAAGCTAAATCCATTTTCCCTGTTTTACTACCAGTCTGGGGGAGGTGTGTCCTCCTAGCAGACAGTATACTTGCTCTGAACAACATATTTCCTTTCTGTGTATAGGTCTCACCTGCCCATAGGTATAGTGTGACCCCTGCAGTTTGTGTACAAGCAGCTCAATTTGTAAATGAGTTACACTGCTCAAGTATGTTGTAGAGTTTTCAAGCTGTTTAACTGTTTTAGAAACACATGTATCTCTGGTTTATAGCACCTCAGTATAGGACAGTTATTGGTGTAAATGATAGCATAACTGTTTATGAAAGTAACTGAATGCATGGCTTGTCCTTCTCATACTGTCCTCCTCCTTATTCATCAGATTCAAGTAATTGAAAATGATAAGGCTTCTAGGGGAGGACAGATCTATGCTACAAACACAAGAGGACAGGTTCCTCCTCTTGTCACCACAGACTGCGTCATCCAAGATCAAGGTAACTGTCCATCTTACTGCTGTGAGAATCTTGTTAGGCAAAATCAAAGGCTAAAAGAATATACTAAATTTTCAAATTTCTCATATTAAAATTATGTTTCTTACTCTAAATTGGACATGAAATGGAAAACTTCTCTTAGAAAAAGAAAGGATTGAGGACAAATGGGAGATGAGAATTTTTGTACCTTGTGTTAACTTCAGTGAAAGCTCTGAGACTACTAGCATCTCCTCAACCATTGCTGACATTTAAAATAATAATAATAGGTGAGACGACCCTTCTTTTTAACATCAAGTTGAAAACTCTCTTCAGAGTCTCTCAGATGAATGTTGGAAGAAACATGTCCATGCTAAAATTAGCAATTAGACTAATGTCATTGTCTTTAAGATACGAATTTTGGAAACTTCTATTCAAGTTGCAGGAGTAGAGTTCAAGTTATCTTAGTTAGCTTAATATTTTCCTTTGGCTAGTGTATCTACATTTGCCTCTTACCAGTCTTCAATTTCCTCTGCTTAGAGCCTGTCAATACCATATTCCATGTGCATTTCTTGGTACTTTCATATAGATTGAACTGATGGTCTCATTCAGTATAGCATTCATTTAGCAGTGCTTGGAAGAACTGAACAAAATGTACGAATGCATCAATTTTTTGGCATTACCCGGGAATGGAATAGAGCTGTTCTGATGTACAAGGAAATTGCTTTCAATAAGCTAAGCAGAGCTGCAGCCTGATGGTTAAAAAGGAGAATGATTAAGTTAGTTTTTGAACTCCCATTATTTTTCAGTGCTCTTGTCTGCAATGCACAAAACTTTCTCGTAGCGTAAGTAGTGACCTTAGCACACTATATTTTACAAGGTAAATGATCATGCCAATGTATGCTCAGGTACAGTATTTTCTCAATTGAACTGGTTCATTAGAGTGGTCGCAACATTAAGGATCAGTCTGCAACATTTATATAGTGTTGACATTTCCACCGGGGAAAATCTATATTACTTTCTTTTAATTTGTCAGATATGATTGTTTTCAAACCAGACACTTTTGTTTAGATTCTTATTACATACACTTTTTTTTTTCTTTTTTTTGTATGTTTAAATTTCTGCATTAAACTCAAACCACAAGAGAAATTTCACCTGCAGGGTGGGACAATGGCCTGACATATATAAGGAGATTTGTGCAGAAGTTTGCATGAGGGAGAAAAGAAAAATGTATTTAACTTAGCATATGCACGTGTTTTTTGTGCTCTTTTGTTTTTTTTTTTTTCTGGTGTATCTTTGGAACAGGCACATTTCTTTTGTCACCATACTGTCACTGTGTTTTGTTGGCTGTTTTAGGCCATGCGAGCCCCCGGTATATCCGATGTACAACATACTGCTTCCCTGGTTCTTCAGATATGGCCAAACAGGCTCGCATCCCCCTGGCAGCTGTCATCAAGCCATTTGCTATAGTACCAACAAATGAGGTAAAGGCTGAATTACTGTTCTCCTGGGAGTTCTTGTGTGAGAGGGAGGGTGAAGGACCTTACCCCGACTTTCCTTCACTTAGGGGAGGATGGGGAGGTGGCAGAAGAGAATGATATGTACTCTTATCATGATGTGAATTCCGAAGATAAAAATCTTTGTTTAAAAAAGGTATGACAGTGACCACTGTGTTACCTGAAGCACTAGGATGGTGATGTCACAATTGTTTTTGGTTGTGACAGCACAAGTCAACACCAACCACTCATTTTTGGCACCTGTTTATGCACACTGACATAATTAACTTCTCTCATATTACCATCACTAATAGCCCTTCGTGTTCCAAATATAGCCATACTTGCATGGTGCTTCTGAAATTTTGCAGTAGCCCATTGTCTCATGTCGGGTGCCTGAATTTCCTGGCATCACCAAAGGATCTTCTCAGAGGCAGGGACTGAACTAGTTCTCATGTGCAGCATTAAACTGCAACAACCAGAGGATCATCCATTACTGTTCGTGGCCATCCTCCTCCTCCTCCTCCTTTACGTGGCTTCTGAATTCCACAACACACATCTGCCGGCAGTATTTCCTTTTGAAGTGCCACACTAACTTACTTTGAGCATGGTTTGCTGGAAAAGTCAAGTTCTCATGGAAATAATAGTAGATGATCATGCCTTCAAAAACTCCTTTATAAAACATACTCGCAGAAGAAACAATTAAGCTTGCAAAGACCTTCAATGCTTAGGCTTGCACACTTTGATTTTCTTTGTTTTATTACTAATAAATTCTTGTGTTTTTGGAAAAGCATATTGGAGAAAAACAGATGTTCTTTATCAGGATGGATAACTGCCAATCCAACAGACCTCTGTAGTTTCAGTTAAGAGTATTATTTTAGCAGGATAATATGTAGTTATATTCAAGATCCACAAGGAGATGGGGTGTACTGCTTGTGGTTCTGCAGATCCTGAATCTTGCCATTTGTCTGCAGAAATTTTAGATTTCATCCCAGTTCTTGAGAGGAACATGCAGACTTTGCTGTTGTGTCCTCCTTCCCATCCCATTCTCCCATTTCCTCACAGATGAAACTCTTGCTGTTACTTCCCTACCCCTCTGCTTTACAAGCCAGGCTTTACTCCCTAGTATTCTTTATGTAAGCATTGAGATATACTGGGTCTGCTTTCCTGCTGGCCCCTCATTCGCATCAGTCTTTCACTTTCAGTATGCACCCCGTCATTTATCCTCCCACGCATGCATTCCCTCTCTCCCACACAGTGTTTGGATAGGATGATCGATGAGTTGCTAAAATCTAAATCTCTTTTGTATATGTAAATTAGGAACATGTACAAACACTTGTACTTGGCTAAGTGCAGGAGGGTTTCCCCAGGGCTGGCAAAAATAACTACTCAGAGACCCACCGGTTCCAAAGTGCTGGTGCTCTCAAGCTGTTCAAAAGAAACATCAGCCGAATTCATTAATCTGTACAGAGCAGAGTATTCTTCCCTAGCCTCTCTCTCAGAAGAGGCTAAAAATCTCTGCCTAAAAAATGTGTCTCAGAATTGGCCAAAGTCCAGTGTGGAAAATTTCGCTCTGAACAGCTAGAGCTTGGTAAAATCAAGGCCTGAAGAGAGGGTGTTAATGTAGGAAGTGCCAGGCAGTGTTAGCTGATGCAGTTTTTCCAAGCCTTGTGTGTGCTCTTTCTCTTCACTGCTGCTGCCAAAATAAGATGCAGTCTTCCGTATGGAATTTATAACTGCTTTAATTCTGTATAGATACTTAATTTGAAAGAACTGGGCTCTTTGTAGAGGTAGAATGTATTTCAAGAGCTTATTTGTACTTTTGAATTCCTACTATGGTACTTTATGCCTGCAATTAGTGACTACAAGGCACAAAATGTTCTTACTTATGGATGCTTCTAAGTGCCTTTTAATGATACCAGCAGGTGATTCTCATCACATGTTACAGAGTTCAGTGCAGAGTAGGAATCTGTCTAATGTCTTTATCTCTTGATAAATAGTAGATTGTACATAGTAACTTTAAAATTGTGATTATTTCTAGCCTTGTATTGAATATTTTCCTTTCATTCATCTTTGTTGTGGCTTCAGCTGCAGATAGGTCTCAATTTCCGTAATTTCTGATGTACTAAGTGCTCGCACCTCTAGAATTTCAGTTCCTTTTCTTTTTAGAGGGGGAAGAAAAAAAGCAAGTATTACAAGGGTTTAGTGAGCCATGGCTGTGAAATGCTTATGAATGGTTTGTGCAGCTGCTTATGTAGGTTTTTGAGCTGTTCTTAACCACATATCTCACTAGAATTACAGGCTCACTTCATCAAACCAATGATGCATTTGGCCTTTTTTTTAATATTGCATATATATTTTTATTATCATGGGGAGAATTTCACATGCATAGACGTGCACAGCCCCCATATAGTTTTTTTTTAATTAACTGGGGTTGTGCTCTGACCATTACTTACATCTGAGAAGTAATTTTAAATAGTATATGAAATATATCTGCATTTTCAGTCTCTGTTTCCTTAGAATTCTTGTCATATTTTGTCTCTGCTGTTACTATATTAGGGCAGCTAGAAGTAAAGAAACCCTTACCTTGTAAGGTAAAGGGTGAGGGTTGGTTAGCAGCTTTCAAGTAACTTGAGGATACAGTACCAATCTCCAGGTGGATTGTTCTTCATTTCTGGGCATGACTGCCTTGAACATGGATTTTGATTTCATTGAGGGGAAAGTGGTTTGCATTAATGAAGTGTCATGTTCTGATCAGATGGTCTGAGCTGCACTGCAGCAAAAATTAATAAAGTAGTGAAGTAACTGAGTCTACTGGCCTTGGTAAATTAGATGTGTGTATGAGAGGGAGAGTGCAAGTGCACACCCCTTACTTTCTTCCTTACTTGATTAGGTGGATTATTTGTAAGCAGTGGTGTTCATTGTAGCATGGGTGGGAGGCTGTGGAGTCTTAGTGTCGCCTAAGCATTGACCAGCGGAGCAATGTACTGAATTGCTCCTACGTGTGCAGGCAGCAAGGAGTCCCAGGGAAATTCTTCGTTGCTAGCAGTTGCATGTGGAGATGCAGGCAAAGGTAACTGGGGAGCTGGAAGTGGCAGAGATATATGTGTAAGGGAGACTGAGGGCATCACTCTGCAGTCAGATCTGTTTTGTTCTGTTACTCATGGACAAGAAAACCTTGCAAAACCATTTCCAAGAGAGTTTACATTTGGAAAATTAGTATAGCTGTACTAGCATACAGTTCTGCTTAAAGCTTACCGGAAAATAAGCTGTTTTATCTGGATAAACTATTGCTCTTAAATAACTTAGTAGCTTCTACAAGTTATACAGCATTTTGTTCTGCAAAGTAGATAGTTTTCACTTGTCTTCAATTTAAGATTTGACTGAAGAATCCATAGTGCTCTGGCTGGGGAAAAAGAGGAAGGAAAAAAAAAAACTCTTAGTTGGTAGTACCTCCTAATATTCTTTATATTCCAAGTTCAGTTGTTAAACTGTTAACAAGAGTCCAAGTTTCTCAAATATCACTACAAAAAAAAAAAAAAAGTTTAAAGCCAATCTGGAAAACTGTTGACTAGTGACCCTTACTTAAATGCTATAAGTCACTAGATGAAAAAGCATTAGAAGAAAAGACGTTTCTGAGTCTTCTCTATACCAAGTCCTTATTTATCATTGCTCAGAAATAATACTTCATCTTCATTCTCCTGATTTGGATGATCTATGAAAAGTATTTGTTATAGATTTTGAGAATACAGTATCATTGTTTGACAGAACTTATTTTTAGTGCACCACTGCTTTAGCAACTGTCTATAAAAATAAACTAGCTCTCACAGTTATCACCGTAGACAAAGCCCTACATGAATTTGTTTTGGAGATGTGTGAATGTTTCCAGAGAGAATAAATCATGTGATCTTTGTTTAACATTTAACAGTGCTTGCTAGCAGAAGTTAATTAAAGAGTATTTCATGTTTTAAAAGCAAATATAAATAACTCCAAGTGATTATCTATGTCTTTAAATATTTAAATTTCTGAAGTAACCTTGTTTGCTACTTCTTAGCATTTGTGTCATCAATCTATTGATGACTGTTCTTTCAGACTTATTTGATTTTTGTTTGTAGAAGTAGTCATAATTGAAATGTAATTTTTTTTTTTCTTCCCCCTCTTCCATGTGGATGTTGGCACTTTTCTTAGGTAGATCTATCTCAGTGCTGTAAAGTTCACAGAAGCTAGATAATGAGTGAGGTAGATATTGGCAACCTGGCTATTCCTTTGGGTTTAAATGAGTCATACAAATGCTAAATGAATCTGAAGAATTGGGAAAATCCCTGCACAATAATTATCTACCCTCATCTCAGTGAGGACTTGGAGAGGTTCTGCTGTTGACGTACAGAATTGTATGTCTAGCTCTAGCTTTGACTTGAAGCAAATTTTTATATAGGCATACACAACTATTAGCAGTTATGTACTCTTGCCTTCTTGGGTTTGAGTAGATTGAGATATTTCTGGAACATGAGGTTTACAGAAAATACAAAATGATTAACTAAACATCTTACTGATTGCTCTGTTGCTCAGATCACTTTAGGGATGTTAGAAGGCACAGATTGCAGAACAGAACTTCTCTTCCTTGTTTAAAAAAAAATTGTTATTTGTGTTTTATCCTTTGTTTTCTGTCTTTTATTTACCTACTTATTTACCATAGTGCCTTCTCCTATATTTCATGAGAGCTTAGCTAATTAAAGAACTTTTGATGAGGAATTCTGTCAAAAGATGTTTTTCAAAAACAAAGTACATTGTCTACTAGGTCAGGCTTGTCTGTCTGCAGGCTATTGACAACACTCAGAACATTTATATGAAATGACGCTGCTCCTCAAGAGTCATCTCAACTATACCCTGTGTATACTGCTTATCTGTGTGTCTTTTTATGTTCCCCTCCATTGTAGTATCTACCAATTTGCTTTCTGTGGAAGCAGGACTCTGATCACTAGTTCTAGCAT